TTATCTTGTTTCTTAAAAACAAACAACCACCAATAATTTATTATGCACATTAAAATTTAAAGTTGAACTTGTCCTTTCAGTCCGAATAAATAAGAGCAAAATTTCACTACGGCTTGAGTCTCACAATGTTGTTTATCTGTGGATGGTTTGCATTCAATAAATCATTTTAAGAATGTTTATCCCAGTCTTTGGTTCAACAGCCTCCCAGAGTGTACTTACATACAATAAGTAAAAACAACAGTCCCTTAGTGCTAGCTTCCAACTTAAATAAATGGGAAAAAAAGATGGGGGTGGGGAGTGGGGGTGGGGAGAGAAAAAGCAGATTCTTAAGCCTGATAAAAGTTCTCAGGATATTATTACATGAAGGCTTTAAACCAGTTGAGAATCAACATCCGACCAGTCTGATCACATGACTTGGTTGGTGTGGGAACTGATTTTTTTCCCCCTCTTAACTCTGTATCAGCTTATTTGAATTAGAGAGTATCGTTTTTTTCTATAAAAATTGTTGTGGCTGTTTTGTGAAGTTGATTCACAATAGAATTTCCTGAATGAAGGCATATATAAGTGTCCTAGGATGATGTTGCAGGATCCAATCTGGGTCATTCACTAGGACCAGAGGTTTAGACTTCTGTGGATGGGCTCTAGCATGAGTCCAAAAGCTTTGAAGACTGAATTTCTGGTCCCGGTGGCCAACCCGGATTGGATCCTGCAATAGAATTTCCCATTGATAGTTCTTTTGTCTCACTTTGCTCTTGGCTCCTAGATTCAAGAGAAATGTTTTGTCCCCTATTGAGTTTTAGGATCTTCTAATGGTGCTTGCATAAATATACCTTTTAAAATATATCTCCTCTTTTCAATGATTGGAATAAGATGCATCAGTGGTGACAGTTAGTGGAAGTGACATCTGATTGCCAAATTGCTAACATGCAATTCATCAGCAGTGGATCTATAATACAAGAGATATAAAGCTTTATCTCATATCAATAACTCAGATTTTTTGGGAAACAGATAGACAAACATACCGTATATTGAACAGATTGGTAGAATAGGTTGAACATTAGCATTTTCCCCCCATTTTGTATGGAATTGAGGGTTGGGAGATTTTTGTTATTCCACAGGGGGGCAATAAGTGAGTGACATTTTTGTACTTTCCTATTGAACAATTGAAGGGAGTAGTGATTAGGTCAGGTGTTCTCTGCACATACCCAGGATTTTGGAGGACAGCAGAAATGAAGTTATGAGTTGGTTGCAAATTGCCTCCAATGGATTGGAACATTTGGTGTCTTGGACTGTAAGTACATTTTCATTTATTGATTGATGGATTGGAGAAAACAAACAGCTCTGTCAAATGAGCAATGCAACCTGATTTCCAAGAAAAATAGAGATAAGGAGCTTTAAGATTCTGAATGCAAAACAGATGAAGGTAGGGACATATCTGCAAACAATCTTTAAATGGAATCATTTTTAACAGAAATTTAAATAAAGCAAAAGGCTATTTGCATTCTTGTATATATAAAACAGAATAACAGAATTATAAGTGTGTGTGTGTAGTGTGTATGTATGAGTGTGTGTATGTATATGTATATCTCCTGCAACTTTTCATTTTCTTCCATACTTGGAAGGAAGCCAAGATAACAAGCTAAGAGAACTTTCATAATTCACCATTGAAAAGATACTGAGTAGGCATGGCAAAGCTATTATGGATGTCTCTGAACCCTATCATTTTTTTACCTTAAAGAGCTGCTGCCCTGATCAACTACCGACTGGCATACAGTCATAGTAGTGAAGGAATGGTGTGTAATGATGCCATTCATCACCAATTGGATTCCAAATTTCTTTTGAAGCTGTGTACCCAATGTACTTTCTGCACATTCTTGCAGGCATTGAACATGGCCTCAAAACAAATTTGAAATCCAGCAAAGATAAACATAACAAAGTTAAAGGTTTCCTTAGGCTAAAAATAATAGCACTTCTCATGGCATCTTATGAGTAACCGTTAACTTGCTGGTGGGGTAGAAAACAGGAGGGCTCAGAGCAATCACTTTCCCCTCTGATTCTTTGTAATGATCAACTTGAATAGAAATAATCCATGAGGAGATCGAGATCTTCAATAAATGATCCTGGAGAGAGGAATGGTCTGATGGAGCTAGATTATCTACAGTCTATTTCCATAGCAATTGAATAATGTGTTGTTGTTGGAAGATAGTAGTGCATTTTCATTCCTTCCTCCTCTTAGGAGTCACTGCCAATGTCTGTGGGTTTTTCCCTGCTCTCATTTTCCACTCTCTTCCCTAATTCCCATCTGTCCAGAACAGCCTTCTTTTTGTCTGTATCCTGAACAAAACAGTTCTCTTTGATTCTGTGCATCAGCCAATATAAAATTTAAATTTCTGCTGTCCAATGATGACACTGATGGTAATTATCATTTGTACTTTATGTTGCATGTTGTAAGCTGTTGTCAATATATATATATATATATATATATATATATATATATATATATATATATATATATATATATATATATATATATATATATATATATATATACACACACACACACATACATACATACATATATTATCTCTCTCTCTTTCCCTTTCTCTCTCCCCTCCCCTCTCAAAAATGAGCTAAACTGAAGAATCATCAAAATTATCCAATCACTGGCTATCCCAGAATATTAAAAAGTGGGACACCAGAGAAGTATAATAAAATGTGAAAATATTGCCATAGTACAATATATATATTTTAAAGATGGGGGTGGGGTGGGAGAGTGTTGGTGTTCCGGAACAGTTCTTAAATGATTTCTTAAACTCCTGAAATCTACCCTAAATTATATGCTGAATATAAAACATTGCACTTTTGGTCATGACATGTATATATAAAATACACACTAACTCCATTAAACATTAAGCAGCAACACATGAGTACTATTAATTATTACCTGTCATATTGAGATTAAATTGGGCATTAAATTAAGGTTAAAGAGAGATTAAATTGTGACCTGAGGTGCAGAAAAGACTCACTAGGCACTGAAATATAAAGTCATTATTTGCACAGAATAAAATTAAGGACCTGTACTGGCTGCTTCCTATGATAATGAGATACATTAGTAAAATTAGTACCATCCATATCATTGGTGCTTCCTAGAACCTAAGCTTGAAGATCACTTTTAAGGACAAACTGGTCACCAACTTGTCAGCACCAGCTGAACAATGTGTCACAACATGTTTCTTTTGGGGGTTACTCGAAAATGCTGCTTTCTGTTCTAAATCTATTGCTATCAAGCCCAATTTAAAAAAAAAAAACTATTGAAATTAAATTTAAATCTATTTTGAATTCATTTTTTAAAGGGGCGAGAAGCACTCTCTCTCTTTGCTACAAGACATTTTAATCAACACTAGTTATGCCCAGAGATAATATATGATGCTATTTAATAGTCATGACACTCTAGGTAACTCTGGGATTCCTCCACCATACTGCTTCGCTGTCTTACTTTATTACATTCTTTCTTCCTGTTTTTTAGGTGGCAGGAGGAGAAAAAAAATACTTTCTGCTTTCTTTTTTTCAGCTTTTTACAGGAGTTTCAGACAGGCTGAGTACCAAATTTCCTCTTGAAAACTCTGTAAAAATATCAAGAGGTAGCCATTTATTCTGTCCTAGTCTTTTCTCCACGATTTTGCCTTATTCTTTCTTATGTAGCACTGGTCCAGTAACTATGGCATCAATAACAGGTCACCATATTATACAAAAAGTCCTAAGACCAAAGCATCTGTGGTGTCAAAAATAAAATAAACATCTAAATAATAGCTGGACTCATTACAAATCAGAACTCCAGCACACTCACTCTCATAGTTCTTTGGAGAATCTCTAGACTCATATTAATTCAGAAACCTTTGGGAATGAAAACAGCCTTTGCTTAATTTGCTTCATAAAAGCACAATACAGCAATTGCTGCTCCTGACACTCTTATATGATGAGCTCAAAACAATGCAGCTTGTCTCCAGATTCATAATGAAATTGCTCTAGTGTTGTAAATGGAAATATCCAGCACATGATCAGCTTTGGAACAGTGGATAAGTATGAAAATAGAATTGGTTTCAACTCAGATACAGAGCAAAATCTTACCATGTTCATTTTCTAAAGCTTGGATCTGCTCCCATTAACTGTATTGGAGAAAATAATGTGATATTAATCTTGCAATTAAGCACTTAATTTAATTAATTAAATTTTATTTTAATTAAAATAAATACTAGCGGGCTGTGAGCTATCAGTTCCAATACAGATGATAGTAGATCAGATACCAAATAATTTAGAACTAGTGATCATAACAAGGACATTTTCCAGGAAAAGCAAATGTTTTCCAATCAAGCCTGGTGAAAATTGGAAAGCTATATCTGGAAGAAATAATGTTAAACAAATAGTTAAAATTCAGCAGTCCATCAATAATATGTAGTTTGAAAGAAATAACAGGAAAAAATGTATGTAACTATACAACTGTTAAAGGAATTGAAAAGACAATAAAATAGTTTTGTGTTTGTGTTAAGAAGAAAATACTTCGCATTTACAGTAAGTTTAAAAAATAAGTTTATTTTGGTAATGATTGTGTATTGTAGCTACCACATATTGTGCCACACTGGCAATGATCATCTTGTCTCTTGCACACTGCATCGCAATTCAAAAATATTGGAGTACATGCTAAGTGTACCATCTCTCAGTAGCTCCAGAGGTTTGTTTGTTGGTAACAGCCTTTATCAATTTCCTTAAGTGAGTGAACCTTAAGCTAATAGGAATGAATACCTTCACAAATAAATTTCTAGGCCAGCCTATAATTAGATACAATTATTTAAGTGTCTCCATATGACAGCTGTTACTATGCAACAAATTGTTTTCATGGTATGACTTACTATACATATCAGATTCTTATTCTGTTTATTCATCCATATATAAAATGTGCTATTTGCTTTTCATTATTATTATAATTCTTTTCTTTACACTAGGATGATCCACTTTTTTCCAAATATTTTTACAAGTGCTTCCAACCAAATAATGAGATGCTGAAATTGGTAAGTGAAACAACTAAAAGTTACATAAATGTGGTTGCAATATGTAGATCAGATTCTGGATTCCTTGTGTTATAGGGTCACATACGATCCAATAATTCTAGTTCATTCGGCACAACTATCCTCTAAGCTATTCCTTTTCTTCTATATATTATTCATAAGACTGATATTTTATTTAGTGTTAGTGAAAGGGATTGAGATAAATTCTGCAAATATTATTAAAGGAACCTGAGTGAATTACAACCCTGAAATTGAGCTATAATAGCATTGTTTCTGAGATATAATCTTTTATACTTCCAGCCAACTAATTCAACAGTACTAAAACAGAGGGCCATGTCAGATCATAATTACTGAGCAGATTCTGTTGAAGTGCTTTGCTTTATCACTGGGTTTTAGAAAGGAAGACTAATACACATAAATTAGCCCTAGCCGGAAGCAGAGCTTACTGTAATTAACAGTTGTTTAGGACTCAACCCAACAAATGTAGTCTTTGAAGTTGCTTTGGGGTATGAATATAATAATGCTTGAGTAGCACTGTGAGCAAATATTGCTACAGGTACACTATGAGTAAACACTGATATATAAACACAGTAGTTAAAATGGTAAATATGCACTCAAAGCTCTGATTTGAACATGCATATTTAGTACTCGGGGACTGCAGAATTGCTGTTGAAGATTAACAATCAATTGTATAGCATTCATATTATTTGACATCGCTTCATACATCTTTTTCGTGTCATTGTTTCCTGAAAGATAGGTAGTATAAGAATGTGTCATATAGTCCTGATGTCAGAGATAGAATAAATCCTTCTGACAATTTGGTACCCTATTAGAAAAAAACAACAGCATCCTATCTTTCCAGTGGGAGGGACATCATCATTTTGTATATCCTTTCTCTTCTATAGCTTTTCAAGTTTGTTTCACAAAAGTTAAGCATGGTGATTCCAGTCTTTATATTGAGCCCATAGGCATACTGATGCTCTTTAATATTTTAAGTTTAACTCATATATTTAACAGAAATAATTCTACACCTGGAAGTATCCAGGTGACAAGTTTGACCTTCTCCATTTTCTGTTTCATACTACATAGTATATTTGATTCAGTGTTGTTCATACAATGATCATAACATTATAGAGATGGAAGATACCATTTAGGTCACCAAGTCCAACTGCCTGTCCAATGCAAGAATCCCAATTAAGGGATTGTAGATAATTGGCTAGCCTCTACTTCAAGACTTCTAATGAAGGGGAGTGAATCAACTTCAATAAATAATTGATTCCACTAACTCTTCATACTGTTATGATCCCTCCCTCCACCCGCAGAATTAGCCTTTCTTTAATTTAAATCCATTATTTCATATCTTATACTTGAGAGAGAATAGGTCTTGACTTTCTTCTGCCTGACATCCTTTCAAGTATTTGAAGCATGCTATCATGTCCTTAGTCATTTTTCTCAAAACTAAAAAGACTTTTTCAGTTTCTTTTCATGGGGCTTAGCTTCTAGTCCCCTGATCAAATTCTCTGCCTTGCAATGAACTTGTTTAACTTTCTCCCTTCTTAAAGTATGGTAATTAGAATTGGTCACAGAGTAGAGAGGAACAATTATATGCTGTAATTTGTAAATTATAGGTCTGTTTGCACAGTGATTTTGGTATGAAGTGAAGAACATAGGATTGAACTTCATGGCCTTTCACATGTTCCACGTATAGAATATATTCGAATTGTTTGAAAAGAGTGTGTTAATCCACGCCTTGCATGATTGTATTTATTCAATCTAAACTTTCCTGTGATTCAATATTCCTCCATTTTTCCAATATTTGCATTCCTTAAGTAGTGATATATTCTTTCTTGATGTCACATCTAGCACAGTTTGCTATAAAATTTCCTCCTATAGGTAAATACCTATAATTAGTGTATTTACACAATTGCTATTCCTTAGTTCAGAACCAAAATCCATTGATTTTTCTAGTTGGCTTCTCCCAAAAAATTCCTAGTGGACAAAATGAAAAACTGCATGCATACAATTGTTCTGTTTTAACCAGCTCTAACACACAGGTCAAAATAATCTTTACTAAAACTAGAACTGCATGTCAAGAATAACGTAGGCAACAGTTTGGCATATTGGACAGGAAGAAAGAAGTTATTACATCAAATTAGGCTCTAACTAAACAGCATTATATACAAAGATCCTGCTGATCTTTTTCTGGCTATTTGTTAAGGCTGTGATGTAGAACAAGTTTCCTTTTTGGAAGTAGGATTTTAGATATTCCCATATTACACCTCCCTGCCCCGGGCCTTTAGCTGAATATACTGTTTTTAGGTGTAGGAAATTATCTTATTGGATCTAAAACAAGGGCCTCAGCATCCTCTGATTCTCCATGATCCCATTCACTTAGGACAGGGGTGTCACACTGGCGGCCCATCGGCCGGATGCATCATGTGCAGGCCATTCCCACCACAGCTCCGCAAATGGGGAAAAGGTCACGAAAAGTCATGTGATGGCAATGTGACGTAGCGAGTTTGACACCCGTGACCTAGGACAAGTAACAGAATGGTCTTCCTTTGAGATTTATTCCAGTTGTAGTATGATGGTGCTAGGACAAAGATGGAATATGAAAACAGTGTTACATGACCATTTTCATAAATATTTATTATGTTGGAGATGAATTATTGAAAATATTTTTCCAAATAGACATTTTTCTAAATTCTGCTCACTAAAATATGCTGAATTCCAATTAAACAATTTTAATCTGTAATAGTGGCTAATATATTCAAAAATGATATTAGAGAACAAAATTATTTCTTTGACTAAAGGCATTTACTTGCTCCTGCATTTCTTGCTGCTAAATATATTTGCCACTTTTCTATCAGGATATTTTGGAATAAAACAGGCCATATACTTTTATTAGGTTTACTGCCAGTGGTATCAGGTGTTAATTCTTGTGCTTCTGTTTAAGATTTGATTGAATTCTCTTTTCATAAATTAACTTATCTTCTTTCCCTTTTTCTATTTCTTGATTCTGAATGAAAACATTTTCTTGCTATTTCTTCATTAGCTAGTTGTTTATCTTAAAACTGGGGTGGGGTGGGGGGAATTGAGTTTCATCTGCCAGAAGAAGATATGGCATGTTACATTTCAAAAATGAAATTTAATGTTTGTATCTCTGTGGCTTTCTTATATTTTTCTATGCTACTTTCCTCCCCTGGTATTGGTGGTTGTTCTTTTTTTCTCTTTTTCATTTGTTGGTGCTGTTTAGCATGAAAATAAAGCAATATTTTTCTTTCCTCAGTAAATAGCTGAGTCTCACATTATAAGCCAAGAACTTTTTGTTTCAACAATATTGAATTTAATGTGGCCATTGTGTATCTTTCTCCTTTCACAGTGGGAAAGGTGATTACATTCTAATTAGTTTCCCCCCCACACACACAACTCTTCTTTTTTTAAAAAAAACATTATCTTTTCTGACTGTACTTCAAATTCTCCTGACCTCCCTTGAACTTGGCATTTTGTGTGGTAGAGGTCAATACTTTAATGTCACCTTTCTGAATGTATTTAGCATTGTGGCTTCCTATCTTCTAGCCTGCTGGAACTGTGTTGGCTGAGCTGATTGTAAATAAAGAATTTGACATTGCAGATATACTTGGAATGATGTGCGCTTTAAGTTCACTATTCTGCCCAGATGAGTGGAGGGCATGGTTCTGCATTTTAATTTGAAATTCAATGAATATTTTGAATGCCGCACCATATCTATAACATTATTTCAAGGCTCTTGTGCATTCATGGGTGTAATGATTGGCATTGGCAGTAACTTGATGCAATGTTGCACCATTTTATTTTATCTTTGATCACTTCCTATTCATTGGAAAAATCCCACAATTGCAAACCCACATTATGTTTCACTCAGGATGCCAAGTTTTTTATATTCCAAAGCTTATTCAAGGCACTTGGCCATCCTTGGGCTGCTCATTAAAGGGGTGGCAGTTTCCAATTTGATGAATAAGGGATAGCACAAATCTTTCATTCATTCATGTCATTTTAATAGTAAAGGGATGAACCTTTCCCCCTGCTATTCCTCAGTCATTTTTTTCTTCTTTATAATTAAATATGCATCTTCAAAAATGATGAGGATAATACTTTATTCACATGCAGCAATGTCCTCTTTAATTTTTACTTATTATTTACACTACTACAAGTTTGCACTACTGAAGGGTGTACTTCAAATTTTAATCACATAGAAACAGAATATTAAAATTCATGTAGTGTCTTGTATATCTTTGTAAATAAGGTTAAAAGAAACTAGGTCCAAATGATGACCATAGAAAAGTCAATATGCAGTATGGGTGAACCTTCCCCAATCTACTGTACTTTATTCATCCTTCTAGAAAGACTATGATTGGTTATAATGGCTGAAATGTTGGGAATTATACAGCAATATATCCAAGATCACCAAATTAGGGAATGCTGTTGTAGTTCATCTCTTATAGCTGTCATAAAGGTTACATAGAGATTCACAATTTCTATTACTATTGCCAATAGCATCCACAGGGAAACTGTTCAAGATTTGCAAGATTTTCAATTACAGCATTATGGTCACTCCTTGTATATGAGTGTAATGTTACATGTACAAAATTAATAGGATTCAATCACAATGCCATGCCAGTTGCTTGCAATTTTACCTTCCTGCAGACACCCAAGCATTGATCTCATTGCATATATGCTGTGTTTCAAGCAATGTCCACTCAAATGTCCTAAGGAAAGCTACATAAATGAAACTGTGTAATAATATTCTCCCAACAACATACTTTTCACAACTGCATATAGTATTTTTATTTATTTTATTTATAAAACTTTTACAGTGCCCACCTAAGTGATTCTGGGTGGTTTACAAACAAAAAACATATAACAATGTAAAAATGTAATTAGAAACATAATTAAAAGCAGAGTAAAAAACAGAATTAAAACCAACCTAAAATCAGAGATTAAAAATTTTAAGGTTAAAAAAT